AGAAAAAACCCTAGAGTTGAGAAGGAAGATTACACTTTTGAATGCTCTGGCTCTAAGGCACGATCTAGGAAAAAACCCTAGTCCACCCTTTGGCCGGAACATTTTGGCGCCCACCGTGGGGCTACGGTGAAACTTTTCCTACGCCCCAAGTAACACAGGAGAACCCGCACTTTACCATGGCGAGAGGCGGCACATCCAACAACGACTCACAACACCCTACCATGGAGGAGATGATGGCATTGATCAACAGATTGAGGGAGGAGAATGCGCGATCCAGGGAGAGAGAGGAGGCTATTCAACGAGAAAACGAGGAGATTAGGAGGCGGGCGGACGAGATGCAAGCTATGATAACGGCCAACGCCAGGACGGTGGAGGAAGATGTCATGATGGAAGTCCCCAGGGATTTTTGACCTTTTTCGGAGGCCATAGAGGCCGAGACCATCCCGAGGGATCATCGGATTCCCCAAGTCGAACCTTTTGATGGAACTCAGGATCCCAGTCAGCACTTGACGAATTTCCGCGCTCAAATGTTGATTTGTGGAGGAAGTATGGAAGTCCGCTGCAAACTATTCATGGGTACACTCAAAAAAGCAGCACTGGATTGGTTTAGTGGTCTCCCTGACCGATCAATCACCGACTTTGATGTCTTTAGTCGGCTCTTCATGACACAGTTCGCCGCTAACAAGAAGAAACCACCGATCACGTCGGACTTGTTCGATCTCAAACAGCAGCGGGAGGAGTCGTTGAAGGACTTTCTGCAAAGGTTCAATGAGGTCGCCTTGAGGATAGCGTCCTTGGATGAAAGGATGGCAGTCATCGCGTTCCAGAAGGGCTTAAGGTCTGGAGCTTTCGACATCGCACTAGAGAAAGAGAGTTGTTAAAAGATGTCGGAGGTGAGAGCTTTCGCCTTGAGTCACATCAAGACGGAGGAGGGACAAATCAACAAAAGGTCAGCTGAAAGCCGAGAAGCTGGGGTCGTCCCAAGAGATTTTTATTCCATATAAAAATGTGAAAAGGTTTTTTGCTGAGAAGGTTTTTAATGAGGCACCACAAACCAATAATTCCTGAATCCTTATAAACATCATCCCTTATTTATCTTATATGATTTCTAACATGTGTTATTTTGAAGGCACCACAAACTCGTGATTGATCAGTAAAAATCCGAATAGAGGGGAATGGACATCCTAGGACCATTCCCCCCAGCGAAGGGTCAACTCAAGTTCCTCCTGGTGGCAATCGACTACTTCACCAAGTGGATCGAGGCATCCCCACTCGCTAAAATCATCACTGAGAACATACAGAAATTCACCTGGAAGAGTATCGTATGCAGGTTCGGGATACCCCATTCCCTTGTTACTGATAACGGCCGTAATATGAATTCATCAAGGTTCGGACTCGACCTTGGGTTTTGGCGCAGCGTATTCAGGGTTCGTACTCGACCTTGACTAAAAGCGAGATAAATCGGACCAAGGTTCGAACTCGACTTTGGTGTAAAGTGAAATAAGTTATAAAACTAAGAAAATATGAGTGGAAGAGAATGAGTTATTTTATTGATTGTATACATGGGCCTCGTTAAAAACTCTCTCAGCCAAAACCCATTTTTCTATTTTTTGGGATAAAAAGCTGAGGCTGGAAAAGAGTGCACAGCTCATTCGTACAAAGTTAACTAAAGTAAAACTTGAGATGCGTGGCATTCCAAGTTCGCGGTATGAACTTTTCGCTGAGTTCCTCCAGTCGGTATGCTCCGTTTTCCAAGTCTTCTACAACTCGGAATGGGCCACCCCAGGTGGGTGCAAGCTTTCCATCTGATGTGTCTTTCCGAGCTTCGCCTAGCAAACGCCACACCAAGTTGGCAACTCAGAAAGAGCGAGGTCGCACTCGCATATTGTATCTTCTGGAAGCTCGGAGCTTGCAGGCTTCTTCGTGGATTTGAACTTTGTCTCTGAGCTCGTCAACTAGGTCGAGGTCGGCTGCTAACTCTCGAGCGTTCTGCTCGCTGTTGAAGACTTGGCGTCGGTGAGATGTCTCTCTGATTTCCACTAGAATCATTGCGTCAGCTTCGTAAGTCATCCTGTAAGGCGTTTCTTGCGTTGTTGACTGAGGGGTGCAATGGTATGCCTAGAGGATGCTAGGAAGTTCCTCAGCCCATTGCCCCTTGGCGTTCCCAAGGCGCTTTTTGAGTTCTTGGAGTATCACCTTGTTAGTTGCTTCGGCTTAACCATTAGTTTGCGGATGTTCCACTGAGGTCGGAAGATGCTTGACTCCGAGTTCCCGAAGAAAGTCTTCGAAGTCCTGCGCAATGAACTGTCGGCCGTTATCAGTAACAAGGGAATGGGGTATCCCGAACCTGCATACGATACTCTTCCAGGTGAATTTCTGTATGTTCTCAGTGATGATTTTAGCGAGTGGGGATGCCTCGATCCACTTGGTGAAGTAGTCGATTGCCACCAGGAGGAACTTGAGTTGACCCTTCGCTGGGGGGAATGGTCCTAGGATGTCCATTCCCCTCTAGGAAAAAGGCCATGACGACATCATCTGGTGAAGAGTTTCGAGTGGTTGCCGATGTGTGTTACCAAACTGCTGGCATTCCTTGCACCTTTGCACGTAGTCCTGGCAATCTGATTTCAAAGTGGGCCAGTAGTATCCTGCTCGGAGTACTCTGGTCACAATTGAGCGTGCCCCGGAATGCATGCCACATATGCCTCGGTGGATCTCCTCGACGACATAGGCTGCCTGAGGTGCAGTTAAGCACTTGAGAAGTGGCGTGGAGATGCCACGCTTGAACAGTTCGTCGCCGATGATCACGAACTTGGCCGACCTCAACCTCATCTTCCGAGCTTTGTCCCTATCTTCGGGCAAAACGCCTACCTTCAAGTAGCTCCAAATGCCGGTCATCCATCCCTGGTCTTTGATGTTACTGGTGTTGACGATCTTGTCGTCTAGACTAGGTGAGTGCAAGGTCTCCTAGATGATGGTCTGATGTTGTCTAGGGCGTTTGGTGTTGGCGAGCTTTGAAAGGAGGGCGGCTATTTTGAATGCTCTGGCTCTAAGGCACGATCTAGGAAAAAATCTTAGTCCACCCTTTGGCCGGAACAATATTAATAATATATGTAATTCTTTTACTTAATAATAAAAAATATATGTGAAAAAAATTGATTTGCTAACAATCCTCAATGACACGTTGAAAAGAATAAAAGGATTATTTTAACACATCTTCACAAATGATTTGAAACAATTCCTGTCCTTAAAATAATATTGACCATCCCACTCCCCGATTCTTGTCCAACAATTATCAGATGGGACTTATACTCTCTCCCAATTGGCATTCAATATATTTCACAGTTCCAATGATGACAAAGGAAATGAGTGGTAAAAATTGTTCTCATTGATCACTCATCATACTCCAGATGGAGTATAATTTATTTGAACATGCACTGGAAATAATATAGAATTAGTTTGACTCGGTGTTATTGGGTAAATTTTTCAAGTGAGTCAATGATTCTAATCAACTTAAACTACTATAGATTCTTTCTTTTTTCCAATTTCAATTATTTTTGCACTTCGGTCGGAGGCCATCGTCCTTTGGTAAGGCACCATGACTATGCGATACACCTTGCACTTTTGTCATCTAAATCCAACAAAATCAAGTTAGATATTCCATAGGAACAATACAGTCAATGATGGTGTATAAGAAATTAAGAACAATTACAATGTATTCCACGTGTGTGGTCTGTGGCCTTTAGCTTCATGTATAGGATGTAATTTTTCACATTTCAAATGATATTTTCAAAACTAAAAGTTATGACATTTTACATATTTCTTTTTTAAGTTTCCAAACACTTCTTCATAATCTGAGTTTTCAGACAAGCTATTAACCTCATTTCAGCCAACACTATGTTACTATGGTGAATTACTACAGAGGATGCATGTTGATTTACTCCAAATAACATGCAGCTTGATTTTTGTTAGATTTGGGATATATCGGATATGATGCTTTTTCTATTTTGCTGGGAATTGATCATATCATATCTTGTCCTTCCTCTCTATTATAGTGGGACACGGTACTTCTTTTCTTTTATAATTTGGATATTTTCTTATCACTAACTTGAACATGTATGCCTCATATCAAGTTTGATAAAAATAATATTTTTTTTGTCTAATTAAAAACTTACTTGCTTGCTGACCACTAGGATTAACTTACTAGATAAAGAAAAGGGATTAGAATAGATAAGAGAATCTAAGTTGACTTTTCATCTCTTTGTAATCTTTTCTGCGAATATGAATATGAATATAAATATAAATAAATAAATAAATATATATATGAAAAAATTCCCTAAAGAGAAAAAAAGTAACTTTTACTCAAATTTTTTAAAGCCTATCTTGGGGCAGTTTGTTTTAAAAAATATAATATAAAAATGTAATTTTTAATTAGATAGGAATTTCTTCTTAATCAAAACAGGAAATTATTATTTTTTCCTTATTAAAAATTAATTTGGATAGATACATAAAAAAAACTTATTTTTTATTTATAAAAACACTTTTTTCAAGGAAATGTAAACAGCAACAGTCAGGTCCTTTATAATAAAGATAATTATATTCAATACTTTTTTAAGTGACTAAAATCTCATTCCGTATAAATGTTCTATTACCTGTGTTCCTACTTATTAAGCGTACTTCATAGTAGTATTGTGCTTAGAATTGAGCCTCGATCTGTTTGAATTAATTGTTGACTCAATCTAGTTGAAAGATTTGATCATTTTCTTTATTTTAGTACTAGTGACAACTAAAAGCTTTCAACAGAACAATTTTTCAAAAATTATTTGTAAACAGTGCTCATAGCTTCACTTCGCAACCGTGAATGGGAATCATGTGCATCTGTCATATGTCATTCCTCAAAATTAAGAAAGAATGTTGTTGACAGATTGGCCGTGTCTTGCTTTATGGTCCAACTGCATTCTATGGAGAGAGAGAGAGAGAGAGAGGCTAATTGATGTTGAAACTCCAGCAAAAACTATGAAATTTCTAGGATAAATCTTGTGTATAATACTGTAAATGGTTAATGGAACCATCAGCCATCCAAGTTACTAACCAGGCTGTCTCCCAATTTAGACAACAAAACCAACTACCAATACTTTTCATTTCAAGTTGTCCTCTAGTTTTTGGAAGCAAACTCATGCAAGGAAAAAGAAAACAAGTATTTCCAACTGTAACAAAATGGAGGGATATTGGTAGGCAAGATATCAAGCTTAGTGACCTAAAACATGCTAAAGGCCGTATTGGGAAGCCACCAGACGCTGCCTCCTGCTTTTGCCTCGTCAGAAACAGGACTTAAAAGCACGAACAAGATAAAGTATTTCAGTTTTCACACTTTTCCTTGACCGTAACTTACACTAGATATTACCAAATAATGTTTTAAAGAAACTTAGACACCCATACGAATATTACTTGGCAAATGGCATGCATCGTTACTCAACTAACAGTGATCCCTGCATAAATCACATGATATTTTTTTTTCAGTAGATTTATTTCATGCTCTGAACGAGGAAATGCGTATGAGAATCCAATCCCATAAAGAGTGGCCAAAACATGTGCATCATTTATGGAACAGCTGGAGGGAACTCTTCATGGAAATCACATCCCTAGTATACCGTTACCGTCTCATTGGTCAGACCATAGAAAAGAACACCAGTTCCTTCCCTGCATCTCATTGATATTTGTCGGGTCAAATGTTTGTTGGTCTATGATAACACGTGACATATCTTCCAGCTATGTTCTTAATAGGAAGCGGTCCCCTATTCATCGTCAGAAACAGTAAGGTTCAAGATTAACGAGACGTAAAAGATAGCAATACTGAGTTCAAATAAAGATATCCAAACAGAATAGAGTTTTTTATAAAAAAATTTAAAAAAACAAAAAATGATTCACATTGTCTATGTATGTTAGATTTATAAGATTTTCCTTTATTTAAATTTTGAATTTTGAATAAATTTTAGATAAGATATTTTTTATTGTTATAGTTTTATTTTTTATTTTTTATTTTCAGTTATTCAATATAATCTCAACAAGTAGAGTTATTAGTAGATGAGATTTGTTAGAAATTTTAAATTGATTGTAAGTCTATATATAGACATCATCTTCTATGAATTTTTAATGATAATTTTCCATATTCATTTTAATTTTAATTTGTCTGCAAGATCCAATTTTTCTATATTTTTTACAAAATATTTCAAACAGTGGTATCTAAAGCTTGCTTCCTACGGGCTATGAGAAAAAAAATTATTGAGCGCTAAACACGTTGAGGTTGAGTGTAAACACTAAATTGAGTGATTTATTGTTCAAACAAATTTTGGTGTAAGGATGTCTATTTCCACCAGTTCACCTTCAATTCCAATGTTTAATGATAAAAATTATCATATTTGGGCCGTCAAGATGAAATTTGTTTTAAGATTTCAAGGTTTATGGAATGTTGTAATTTCTGAAGCTGATCCACCACCATTGAGAGAAAATCCAACCATTGCACAAATAAAAGCTTATGAGGAGAAGCTGAAGAAAGATAAACACTTGCCTACATGCAGGACTTGCAGATCATATTTTTACTAAAATCACGGACTTTGAAACACTTAAACAGGTGTGGGACAAGATTCAAGATGAATTTGAAGGTAGTAGTAGAGTCAAATCTATTAAGCTTCTTACATTGAAGAGAGAATTTGAATTGATAAAGATGAAGGATAATGAATCTGTCAAAGATTATTCTGGCAGATTAATAGATGTTGTGAACCAAATGCGACTTCTTGGTAAAATATCATTTATAGATCAAAAGGTTGTCAAAAAGATCATGGTTTCGGTGCCTGAAAGATTTGAAGCCAAGATTTCTGCAATTGAAGAGTCTTGTGATTTGCAAACTCTCACAATTACTGAATTGACCAGCAAGCTTCACGCACAAGAGCAAAGAATTTCCATTAGAAGTGATGAAACTGTTGAAGGTGCCTTTCAAGCAAAGCACAATGGAAGGAATTTTGGAAAGTTACGAACTTTCAATAAGAGCAAAGGAAAAGATGAAGGTTCTTCGAGAAAAGGAAATTTTTTGCCTTGTTTTCATTGCCAAAGAACCAACCATTCTAAAGAAGATTGTTGGTTTAAAAATAAATCACTTTTTCACTATAATTTTTACAATAAAAATGGTCATAGTGAAAAGTATTGCAAATTAAAGAAGAATTAGCTTGAACAACTAGAAAAACAGGCAAATGTGATTGAAGAAAAAAATAATAATAAAGATGAGAATTTATTTATGACATCTCAAGAATTTAATTCACATGAATTGAGTACTTGGCTCATTGATAGTGATTGCACTAGTCACATGACTAAATATTTATCATTTTTTACCTCCATTGACAAATCAATTGAGTCAAAAGTCAAGATGGGAAATGGTGAAATTGTACAAGCCAATGGAAAAGGAACAATTTCTATTGCAACCAAGAAAGGTATGATAATTGTTAAAGATGTTTTCTACATTCCAAAATTGGATCAAAATGTTCTTAGTGTTCCACAAATACTAAGGAATGGTTATGGAGTCTCTTTTAAAGAGAATTGTTTTATCATGGATGAACATGGTTTAGAGATTGTGAAGATTAAGATGACCAAAAATAGTTTTTATTTGAAATTTGATTTGGTTGAAGATCATGGTTTTATTGCTAAAATTGATGAGTAATGTTTGGCATGGAAGATTTGGTCACACTTTTATGCAAAATGCATTTGATATGGCAAATTCTAGCAAATAGTATTCAAAGACACGAGGAAGAGGTAGATTGAATGACTATGAAAATAATGGTTTGGGTCAAGAAATTGATGTGCAACGATTTGATGAAATGGCATTTCAAAACCCAATTTTTGGAGTTTATGAAACTAAAATTTGTGATGTTCATGACAAATCTCAAGGAGAAATGTTAGATTTATGAAATTTTCCTTTATTTAAATTTTGAATAAATTTTAGATAAAATATTTGTTATTGTTACAATTTTATTTTTTATATTTTATTTTCAGTTATTCAATATAATCTCAACTAGTAGAATTGTTAGTAGATGAAATTTGTTAGGAATTTTAAATTGATTGCAAGTTTATACATAGACATCCTCTTCTATGAATATTTTAATGATAATTTTCCATCTTTATTTTAATTTTAATTTGTCTGCAAGATTCAATTTTTCTATATTTTTCACAAAATATTTCCAATAATGTACAAGTGATTCTATAAAAGTATAAAACCATATTTTGTTATTTCACTAAAAAAAATAACTCATAAAACTAAAAGGAGACTGTTGTAAAAATTCATCTAGAAAACAGGTCAATCATATTATACATCAAAACATTCAGAAAATTACACCTATCCTAGAAGGTTAAATAAAATTAATGGAAAAGGAAAAAACGAGAGTCAATAACATGTGTACAGCAGTAGTTACTTACCACACATGGGAATCATAACTATTGTTACGATTATCCCCCAACACGTAAACATGGCCATTGGGCACATACTGCAAGGACACATACAAACAAGTTATACGAGGACACGAAAAATATGAATCAACATAAACAAATAAGTATAGAATTACGTTAAGTCACTGGCATTCACAGTACAAACAAACATAAAAGGGATGGACAAAACAAGTTATTCTTGGATATGTTTTTTTTATCTATCAAATTACAATGGTGGCACTAAGATTCAAACCTAAAATCCTATTCATACTACTTGTACTGCCCATACCAAATACCGAGTTCCACATCGGCCCTAAGTATGCCACGACACCGACCACGTGCGCAAGCCCATAGTCAATTGGACTCGCGACTAATGTTGGGCTGACTTCAACCCCGCTCTCGCCTAAAGGGAAAAAACCCTAAAATCATCAAGTACGTCTGTTACAAATACGAGACATCTACACTATTAAGAACAAATTTTAGCATCGGAGTCTCTTTTGCAGGTACCACCCCCATCTCGGCACAACCGACGTACCCAGGAGAAGAGGTTCACCAAGCTCATCGGAGAGATCATCCTCAGGCCGATCTCAGGTGAGAACACTACTCAAACCCCTTACCGCTAGGCCAACACATTGGTTCCCATTCTTGGATATAAACAAAGTCATTTATCCCGGCAACTAGGACTGTAAACAAAACAAGGTGAGCCAAGCACTCGAAGCAGGTTTGACTCATAAAAGAAAGAAGTTGCTCAAGATTGATTCCTTTGTTAAAATGAACCAAATTTAAAGCTTGGCCTTGTTTAAAATTATGAAGCTTGGGCATGACTCGTGTATGGATTAATTTTTTTTTTATCAAATTATTTTTGAATTTTTTATTAATTTAGTGTTTAACAAATACCTTCATACTAGAAAGTGAAGTAAAATAGTTACAAAATATAATTTTATATTCATAAATTCATCTTAAGATTGAAAGTGAAATTTTAGATAGAGAAAACAAAAGATTTTTAAGAAAGTTTATAATAAGCTCTTTAAAATATGACTCTCTTGAAAGTAAAATTAGGTGAATGTGTAAATACATGAAAATAATTATTAAAAAAAAAAAAAAAGGTCAAGCCTATCAAGATTGAGCGTGATTCATTTAAATAACAGAGCATAACCTTAAACATGAGTTTAATTAGTTGAGCTTGACTAATTCACAAATAACTTAACCCATTCGCATCCCTATGGTCAACTTCTACCCCATCATGTTCATTAATGTGATAACTGATCAGTGATCACATCATAAGTATTGAATGAAAAGTAAAATGAAAAAGGACCATAACAACTAACAAGGATCTCACAGTTAATTGCGTTGTGTATGTTGGTGACCCTGCTATGAAATCTTCCTGCTGAGCAATACCATTGATGTAGAGTGCCCCATGATGAACCTGCAAGGTGTTGGAAGATTCAATTCAGAAAAACCAGATGAGAGAGCTATTTCCCTGTGCTCGCCAAACAAATTATTACTAATTGCCAGGAAATAAATCACTAAAACGAAAGAATAAGAAACAAAATATAGTTCAGTTTCAAAGATAGTATATTTAGGAATTAAATTTACATGCCCATGAATCACCTGGACATATTTGCGTAGCAATTTTGGATTTATCAATTTCACAATGATACATAACATCAGTATAATGCAAAAAGAAAGGAAGTTTCTAGAAACATTTATACCTCAACAGTGTCTCCTGCTTTTGCAACAATTCTCTTAATAAAAACAGCATCTGTGTTTTCTCCAGAGTGCTACATAGAAAACCTATCATGCAACTGAACTGTAGATCTGCAAGTAGGGTACAGATTCTATAGCATCGGAACATACCTGTGTTGGATCCTTAAACGTTACAATATCATGTATAGCAGGACTCCTGATGTAATATAAAGCCTGGGAAAAATGGAAAATAAAATTGAAATATTAAAAATGAGGAAAGAAGTAGAAAAATAGAGATGAGACCAGAAATATCCATTGATCTTATTTCTAAAAGTTTAATGACTAAAATCATTCAGAAAGAAGTAGAAAAATAGAGATGAGACCAGAAATATCCATTGATCTTATTTCTAAAAGTTTAATGACTAAAATCATTCAAAGGAAAACCTACAGAATAAAATATTTTACGAGAAAAGTTTGTTGCTCAAAACAGCTTTATTTGATTAAACGTGATTCTCAGTCAAATTCAAGCTCTTTTCCTTTAGTCTTGTGCACTAAAGCTCAAGAATGAGGTGAGAAAGGAAAATAACTAAGAAGGCTTGCTAAGATAGGGTCGATCATTTTATCCAGACCTCTGTGCAAACTAGAAATATTAAATAAATGGATAATGAAGAGATCAACTCACAGGGACACTTAATGTAAAATATCTTGAAGGCTTTACTTTTCAATATGATAGTATTAACTGCCAAAATAACATTGAAACCTCAATAATATTACAGGTGCTAGTCATTTTGAACATCAAATGAAGGAAAAATAATTCATTTAACTGTTTTAAGATATTAGACCATAGTTGGGACACTTAAAAATATACAAGCTTAAATGGTGCGCATTTCTGGCTCTGCTAGTTCTCGCATCACTTGATTGGGTGCAATTTACTATATTCAAGTCAGAAAGAGAACATATCCTTATTTCAACATCTCCCAAAGTTAATTTTGATGTAAAGAAGTAGACATCCCAAATCTGGAATATCCACAGATGCTAATATATGCAAAGATAAAGCACGACTACCAAAGGGAAACTGGCCATTCAAATAATTTGTTCAATCAGAAAATATGATTCTAAGGATCCATGAGAACCACCATTATCTTATCATCTCGTGAACTTGAACTCAAGTCCATTAATAAACGTGTTAGGGTTATCCTCAATGTCATAAATAAGGCAACACATTACGCTGTTTCTTAATAGCATTCAAGAATCAAGAATTTACCTAGTTTTCCCTAGTAAAGGAATTTAAAAGGCTCAAATACTTGATGTATGCAGAAAGCAGTACCATCTCAAGCTCACGACAATAGCAATGACGTTAACTGTTTAACTCATAACTCATTCAAAAATCCTCCTTCGGCTGCCACTTGCAAGAAGCAATAAGTGTTTAACTGTTTATTAACATAAGGGAAGAGCAACTGATTGAACATCTAATTCTTATAAAAAATTTCAGCCCACCTGAAGTATGCAGTATGCATTCCTTCCCTTTAATTTACGACAAATGGCATGCATGTTCAGTTTTTCATAATTTATTTCTTAAAATGAAAGAAAAATGTATGATTAAGGGTGATAAATGACTACCAAGAAAGGAACAAAGAAGATGTGTTGTAATTTTTGGGTTTATCTGATTTGCTTGTAAAACAAGTTGGCATTATATACTGAAACGTTCCATGGAAGGGAAACAATGTTCGTATTGACTACAGAAATATAGCGACATTAACATAAAGGAAAGAGGATGCGAAGAGAATCAAATGACAAAACTAGAAATTAAGGCATTTCACTTAGAGAAAAAAGGGAAAGGCTTCCATATTGCATCTCCCATTAGATAGGAGTCTGTATGCAAATTCAAGTTGCGATGAAAATGTTCTAGTTGTACGATGGAGTCTGAGATCGCGAGCTGGGGAAAGAAACAGATAAGGAACGAGGTGAAAAGCAGAATATTGTGCACCTTTTCCACAATAATCCGATCGCCGACACGAAGGGTGGGGTACATGGAAGATGAGGGTATGTAGCGAAGCTCAGAGAACGTGGACCAGAGAAGCGCAACCACGAAAAGCCTGAAGAAACCGTCGAGACCCGGCCATCGGAGGAAACCCCAACTCTGACATGGCATCCATCGCAGTGCAGGGTAACTGATCAGAAAGTTGTACAATGCAGAAGGCCTCAAGAAGCTCATGATGCAAACTGCATGGACATAACAGAAAAACCAGAAAAATGAATGAAGAATTCAAGCCATGCTTCAATTAAAGTAAGGTCAAAAGTTGGATCAGGACGAAGAACCAGGAGTTCAAAGAGCTGCAGAGCGTGAAATGAATTTTCACTCTTGACTGAAACTAGCGAAATCAGACGATTACTAAATTGAGTTGAAGCGATGTGAGATTATAAGTGAGTTATGTTATGATCTCCGTGAAAGAACCCCCAGTTTGGGTCTAGTGAGAGAGAGATATGTAATAGTGGAGTTCTTGATACTTACTGACTAAGTTTCCACGACAAGCCATCTTACGCGCTTTCTTGCGATACTAATGTTTTTTCTTTTATTTTAGTCTTTTAGCTTTGAGATGTAATCAAAGTCACACATCGTTCAAACAATAAAATAAATATAAGTTTATATACACATAATTATCTTTATTAGTTAAAAAGTTTTTTTAAGTGTTATTCAAAAGTAAAATCATTAGAACTAGACCCAAAATAGATAATATCTTACTAATATAAAGACATGTACATATATATATATATATATATATATATATATATATATATATATATATATGTAATAACCTCGGTACTCACATTTAGCAATGTCAGTCAAACGTTAAACCTCAGAACAATTGCTGTTCCAACGCAAAGATGGATTATATGATACCAAACCAATA